AGCGATATGCTTCACCATAGAAGAGTCACAAGATATTGAAGCCAATATTTGCAGAGCAGATAATTTTTCTTCGAGATTGCACGACTGTATCTAGATTGAGAAAAAAATATTAAGAGACCAATCTTTTTGATATATTTTGTTAATTCTTATCAATTTTAGTAACTTAAGCCTATTCTACATCTAAGCCTGTGCTTTTTGTTTTCTGTTTCTTGTTTTTTGCTATTTTTCACATCTTGTCTTTTTGCTTCTTATCCAGTTTTTTGTTTTATGTCGCCAGAGATAAAAGTTGAACAAACTTCGAAAGAAAAAAAAAATACGTAGCAAGAAACAAAAAACACATTGTAGAATAGGCTTTCATTTTATTAAATAACGTATAATTGATTTTATGCATATTGCATAAAACTCGATAAAACTCGCTGCTCACATCATTGTAAACGTTCTGCAAAATCTTCTCCCTGTCTCCTTCCCCAAGTTCCTCATCCAATTCTTTATCGAACTCCTGAACGGATTGTAATCCAGTGGGATTTTCTTTGTGAAGTTTTCGCCGGTGCTGTTTCTGCTTACCCATAACTGGATACTTGAAAAATAATCGAATATATTCACCTTTAAGTCTATCTCAAAGAGGTTAAACCACATTAGACAAGTGCACACGATTGATCCAAATTATCTGACATCTTTAGTAAATTTCGCAAAACTTATAATTAAGCCACTGCATTATCAATAATGAATAATATACGTTTCTATATTATCAACAAAACATTTATGTATTGATAATAATGCAGTGCACGACGTAATAACGATAACAACGCCACTGATAGATATAGTATATACTACACTATCTAATGCAAACATATTTTTTATCGAATGATGATTGAAAGATCACATCGAATCACATCTGTATGGTAGTTTCGATATATTTATTGTTATACATTGTATTGAAAATTATCCAAAATTATCATTCATTTGTCATCATTTAAGAATCATGGAGAAATGGATGCAAGAGAAGTTGTCGAAATTATTGGATTTTCCAGTCTCAGATGATTTAACCCAGTAAGTTTAGTGGATAATAAAAATCTATATTTGCATAATATTATAATTATTATGTTATCAATTTTTTAGGTTTATTCTGCAGATAGAAAATGAAAGAGACTTAGATGAGTATTTTTCAACCTTATTGAATAATGAAAATCCAACTCACAGACAATTTGTAACAGAATTGAAAAAGAGACGTGGTGAGTAATAACTAATATTATATAGATATGTTCTGGAAAACTGTCAGATCATTGTTAAATTATTATATTTATTTACATACATTATTTCAGCCTCTTATAATAATCAAACTGGATATAAAAAGATAAATGACGGTGATAATATACCCAAAAAACAAAATGATAAGAAAAGGGGAAAAGCAAAGGGGAAAAAAAATAACCAAGTATATAGTCTATGTTTTTCCAGGGGATTACGTAACAAGTAAATTAAACAATTGAATATCTTGTGCATTATTTTTACAGATGCAAGAAGTTGTAAAACTAGAGCCAAAATCTGAAAAGATAGAAAAGAAAAAGACTAAATTTGTTAATTTATTGTCTCATGGAAATATTCTCTTAAAAGGTATTTATATAATAAATTTGTACATATATATATATATATCTAGCAATGTTTTGTGTAAATAATATATTTTTTTTCAGGAAGGCATAAATGTGATTGCGAAGCAAACAGACATGCATTGATTAACAACTGTCTTAATTGTGGAAGAATAGTCTGTGTACAAGAAGGCTCAGGACCATGTTTCTATTGTGGAGAACTTGTTTGTTCTCCAGATGAACAAGTATTACTTGGAAGCAATACTAAACAGGGTGATAACTTGTATAATAAATTGATGGATCAAAAACCATATAAGAATCTTGAAGACTCTCTTAAACAAAGAGACAAACTTCTCGAATTTGATCGCAATAGGTATATATTTTTTCTATTTCTAAAAATTTTTTACATTAATTATCATAAAAATAATTTATAGTGCCCGTCGTACCAAAGTAATTGATGATGAATCCGATTATTATCAGTCAAATAGTATTTGGCTATCCCATGAAGAACGTAAGAAGTTACAGAAGCAAGAAGAGGAAGAATTAGCACGCAAGCATGCATCGCGTTTAGATAGAAAAGTTGCTATAGATTTTATGGGAAGAGTGATAGTTGATGAAGATCAATCCTTTAACTTGCAATCAGAAGAGCTTGACGAAACAATATCATATGATGACTTTGAAAATACGAATATTTGTCCAACGATAGAATTTGATCGTCCGACAGTAAGATTATAAATTTTTTACAATTTAGTTAATAAATTATGCAAAAGTTTATTTCTATTGTTAAGCCTAAACAATTATATTATACATTTTTATATATTGTTATTATGTTAAGTTTATTGAGATGGGAATATTCAGAACAAGCACACGAATTGAAAATCACACATGGAATAGAGAAGGCAGAATACAAGATAAAGAATATCTAGAAATGTTTGATCAAGGTCTGTGTTTGAGCATGCATCAGCCTTATGCATCTTTGCTAGTGGCAGGAATAAAAACGTAAGTGATGTATTGAAAAATAATTCATATATATTATATAATCAGAATGACATTAACATGATCTTAATGTTACTAGTCATGAGGGTAGAAGTTGGTATTCTTCACATAGAGGAAGATTATGGATAGCGTCAGCTGCTAAAGTACCTTCTTCTGAAGAAATATCTAATATGAAGCAATCTTGCCATATATTAAAAAATGGTCAGAAAAAATAAATATATGTATCTTGAAATATCTATTTTATCCTTAATTACACTTATCTTGATGATTCTAGATAAAATTGAATTCCCTGAAAATTATCCTACGAGTTGCTTGTTAGGTTGTGTAACGGTAACTGACGTTCTATCTCAACAAGAATATAGAAAATTATATCCAGAAGGAGAAAGTGAGAGTCCTTATGTCTTCATATGTGAGAATTCTTACATGTTACCAATACAATTTCCTATGAAAGGAAAACATAAAATTTGTAAGTAACAATAAAAAATAATTAACAATTTCCATTATTTATATTACAACAGAATTAAATTCTTTTATTTTATATTATAAAATATATACAGATAAAATGGATAAAAAACTTCATCAAGCCGCTTCCAAATGCTTAGAGAAAGCCATGAAGACAACTAATAATTAATATTTTCATGTTGTAGTCTCATATTATTCGTTCCTTTATAAAATTAAATAAGATAAACTTTTTCAGTTATATATGTTTATTTGTGTGAATAATTTAAATATACATGCATTCTATTAAAAATAATTATCTGGTTTTTATATAAAAGTGATTTTTCTGATAATGTATCTAATAAAAATTTTACAGAAATATATATATAATATGCATATTACATTACTTGTATACAATGGATCATTATTTAATTTACATAAACTCTACAAGATGTTAAGATATAACCGTTCATGCATGCTTTTCATTTATTTATTTTATTTATCATACTTTCACTCATCATTTTATTGATGAAAAAATATCAATTCTACTATGGTTGATATCAGCCTTTTACAAATAGTTTTAAAAATTATTTGTGCTATATCGCGTGCGTGCACACGAGATAGAGCATATATCTGAAATACAAACATATACTCTTCTTATTTAAGAAAAGCACGAGGATTATTATTGTACTAAATTTTCATTTTTCAAGTGCCAATTATCTTATTTTATTAATTATCAATATCTCAATGTTTTACCTATATAAGAAGCTTTAACGTCACCATGAGAATCATTTATTCTCTTATTTTGACGTATTAAATTAGGCTAAGCCAGTTACAATCAATATATAAAAAACCTCTCATCTACACTATACTATTTTTTAATTAATACAAAAGCTGGATATAATTAAATTACATATAAATTAAAGTACGTTAGCTTAAGCATTGTTATACATCTTTTTCTATTGAGCAAAAGTTTTTTCTTCATTCTCAAAATACTTTACACTAATTGTAAGCTAATTGGTTACGTGTCGTTTTGTGCAATGTCGACAAGCTTATAAAAACACAATATTTTACTTATCTAACGTACGTACAAAATTATATACAATACAACAATCTAAAACAATGTTAAATAAAACGAAACAAATATTGCAGAAATATGTTAACAAACAGTATTTAATAAGCAGATCGAGCATTTCGAGTTTTAATGGTTTGATGAATAAGGAATGTATGAATAAATAAGTATTTACGTGATTACTACTTTTAAATAAATAAAATAACTACTTCTATATGATTTTAATACACATTAATATGCTATCGTATCGATAAGACTTTTCATCAAACTAACAGAATGCATTCAATGATATAAAAAAAATCCTTATATATGTTTATAATGTTTTCTTTCCAATTATATAGCACAATGTGAATTATTACAATAGTTATGTATAACAATAATCTGCAACCCCAATAATACAATAAGTTATTAGTAATTTATATATAGTACATTCTGATAAAGCTTTAACATTCTTGTATCTTTACGGCAAGTATCTAATTTTCTTTTATAGAACTTGTTAAAAAACCTTCATTTTATAACATTGCATAGACTATCATTTGCAAACCAAAGAAATTCTCTCTTTCTATTAATCGTTATTTTTAAAATAATTTTGTCAATCGTTTGTAGGGTGGCACTATATAAAATTTATTCAGTATGGTAACAATAATTAATTTTTTTATCTTATTGCAATATTCTCTTTTAGAAATTATATTAATCTATATGTAGGGAACAAAATTTGATAAAAAATTCTAATTTAGACCATAAATTGCATAATTATACAAGAAATATATATATATATGAAGACAAACTTATAATATTAAATACCTTTTGAACAAGTAACATCTCAGCGTGTCTTGCGTATTCTTTAATTAATCCTGATAACATTAATTTTATAAGCTTTGGCCTAATATCTGATTAAATTTAATTCTTTAATCACAAACTGTCAAATGTTACAATAATGCTAATAGTTATGACTCTGAACTTATTCAATACTTATCCTCAATAGGCCTCATAACATAATAATACTAATAGAAAGAAAATCATTATAAGATTTTCCTTGTTCGAGACAATTTTAAATAAATATCTTTGTACCTTTTCTGAAGATCAAGATTCGCATGTGTTATTAACACAGTTAATGCAAGTTATGTATCTAAGTTTTCTGTATTCACGTCTCATTTTAGGTCGTTGAAAAAGGATTTATGTTGTACGTATAATTCGTTCGATCAATAATTTTATATTTTACACTCAATATACCTTTGCGTATACCTTTGCAATATACCAAACTGCAAATTGTGGCAAATATGCGAGAATCTCTTCTTTCGCGAAGTTTCAGGCGTTTCAGTCTATTTATATGTAGGTCGGAGAATCCTTCAGACTGGTATGACAAGCATCACAGATAGAAACATTTTTCTCGTTTACCAGCGTGCATTTTGGACACTCCTTGCCGCCGCTGGCGAGCGGCTTGTCCTCGTTTCCTTTGCATCTCGATTTAGCGCACATTTCACAGATATCTCGATCGGGCATATTTAGATATGTGCACGTGGCACAATTCCATCTCTTTTCATCCTCCGCCTCTTCCTTTTTCTGTTTACTCATTTGCGCAATGTCGAGATTTTTAAAGGAATCTGCAATCTTCTTCGCTATCTGATCCGAAGATTTGTGTGTGCGTGGAATTGGTAAAGTTTGACTGTTGTGCTTTTTATCTTTATAATTTGCATCGATGTTATATCTATTCGAATCTGACAAATCAAAGGACGAGGATTTCTTCTTGAAGGGTAGAATATCCTGATGATTTTTGCCGTTTGTTTCGGACGAATCGATCTCATTCGCTTCAATCCTACCGCTGCTTCTTTTCTTCTCCGATTTATGCGCGCTATACTTATCTTCGTTCTCCGTTTGCCTAAGCGTCTTGTGCTTGACATAGATAGAATCCAGCTCCTTCTTATGCTGTAAAACATCGTCTCGATCATCGAGATCTTTGTAGTAGCCCAAGCTCTCAAGATTTCTGTACACAAAGTCCCATGTATCATAACCGTCTTTTCCAGCACTGGAATTCGATCTGCTAGCAGTTTTTCTATCAGTTTTACCGTGTTCATAATGATCCCCGTTGCTCGATTGCCGTTTATAAAAGTCTATCTCATCCAGATCTGATATCCGGTGGGACATAGGTTTACGGAGAGTGTGTGTTTTTTCATAATTTGCCACAGACACCGGTACATCGAGTTCTATCAGTCTACCGGTTGGTACTCGAGCTGCATATGCTGGTAACGTGGCGCAATATGGATTCGGTTGTGTACTATTACCATAAAACTTATTGCCATGAGAGGGCAAGCAACCGTAGCTAGTGCAACAATTGATGAAACCATGATTGAGAGGTTGATAATATCGATAATTAGTCGGTACTGCCATGTTTGTCGTATCTTCGATGTGCCGATAATCTGTTTGACAGGTCGACGGCATTGTTGTGTTGTAATTAGCATGTACAATGTGATGATAAGGCAGATGCAATGGCAAAACGTCTATACCCATTTGCTGCTGATAATAATCCTTATAGTTATCGACCTTTGTGCGGTTTTGATGCACTTTCTCGAGGAAACGATAGTTTAGCGCTCGAATGGCCTGCTCTGGTGTACCAACGTGATTCTCACGAAACTCCAATACCTCCAGCCAAGAAATGGTGTATTTCTGTGACACACTTTCCCATATCTGCTTTAAAATCTGCAATTTAAAAACAACTTTATCATCTGCTTTAACATGTGCAATTGCAACTCTTGCATATTGAGTAATTGCATTATTTTTATTTGACCAATTACATTAACTATTTGTTTTCCATTACCTGACATTCTACAAAAGCTACAATAGCATCCCTACTGACGTTTGAAACCTTATCAGGATCAATTGGCCCTTCCAAAGTCAATATACCCAAACCAGTGTGCTTATAACCCATCTGTTCAAACATTAACTCGGCACCTATTAAATTTGCCTCTACCTCGTGTTTATAATAGCCACTGTATGTCTAAAACAATTCAAAAATTTGTATATGTTAAACCATGTAGCAAAATACAGACTAATGACAAGATACATTTCAGGTAGTTACCCTCACTATCCTATATTCTTTTCGCCAAGGCTGAGCCAACAGATTAGCCGCGTATAAGGAAATTGCACTCCAAGCAGTTGCTGCTCTATACCCACTAAAATCTGTTAGTGTTGCTGCTGATCTGTGTAAAATATCTGCTGTTTCTTGAAACACGTATTTATTCTCATTGGGTACTAGACAAAGATATTCCTTTATAAAGCCTGAAATTCATGTATTATATATATAAATTAAAGAAGAGTTGACATTAGTAATGACTTAAGAATATACACTACCTTCCAATTTATGTCGTTGTTGTAGTTTTAAAGGGCTATCATCCGTTTGCAGATACACTAAATGACTCTGTTCCAATTTCATACTAATCTCATGTAATCTGTCTTTGCCTCTCATTATTATATCATTCGCCATTTTTATTCCTAAAATTATAAGATAACAAATGAAATTTATAACTATTAGTGACAAATATGACGAAATTGTTAGCATTTACACATGACTGTAGAAAAACTAAAAAACACTATCGTTTCATGAAGTTCTGGTGTTTTAGAAAATTAACAGCTGATATGGAAATTTGCTTAAACTATTTGTAAAACTTTCCTAATAAAATGTAATGATTAAGAACAACGAATCGCCACATAGAAATCAGTATTTATGCTGGTATAGATTACGAACCTCCTAGAAATCTGATTTTGGAATAGATTCCCGATTCAAACTACAACTAGCTCCAACCTAAAAATAAATCCTATATTTAGTAATGGAATCACGGGCTCTGTAAATAGGCCAATAATTTTGTGATTACTTGACACGTAGCGTGATTTCCCATCTCAAAGCACGAGCCATCGAATTAGCTTGATGCAGTTTAAACGACGTATATGTTATCTTTACATCTCTCTATAAATAATAAATATTGTTCGCAAAATTTTTTTTCTTTTTGGTTATGTTCGCGTTACGTCATGCACAGAATGTGCGAAGATATGAGATGTATATCTTTGAAATTGTTTTTTGTATATACACGTGGCACCGCCAGGTGGAAATTATACGAATCACCGACGATTCTTCCTTTTTGTGTTTCTCTCTCTCTCTCTCTCTTTCTCTCTCTTTCGGCTTCAAAAAGAGAAAGTTTTATGCCTGGCGCTTAAAGTCAATGTAAGATTGGTGCAATCGAATTTTAAGTAATGTCTGCGGCCTTCAAAAAATCCAGCCAAACTTATTTTTCAAAGTAAATTATATAGTTACTTCGATTTGTAAAAAATAAACGACAACACGAGAAAAATATATATTGATTTATTAATAATATAGGGCTTATTATGGTTCTTTAAACAAAGTGAAAATTATGAGCAAACTCTGTTAATCAATAAAGTTATAAATATTCTAGTAAATTTGATCACTTTCGTAATTTTCATCTCGTTTCAAGAACCGTAATAAGCCCCCAGTGTGCAGGGGCTCGATTGTGTATTTTGAAATGAAGTGAAAATTATAAAAGTGAGCAATGATTATTAGGTATTGACCAATTAAATTGTGAATATTCTAGTGAATTTGTTCACTTTTGTAATTTTCACCTCATTTCAAGATACACAATCGACCCCCAAGAGCCAATAGTTCTATCATGGGCCACAGTGGGTCAATATAGCTACAGCCCTGATGTTGATAGCTTCTCTGTGTGATGCCTATTTTCTCGAAATTCCTTACAAATCTTATCAACATGTATAAAATAACGAAACATATATTATTCATTTAGTTTAAAAAATTATATATATATATAATATATCACAAAAAATAAAACATAATACATTTGTATTATGCTCAATGACCGATATTTAGAGAAT